CCTCTGTGCTACACTTGCCTCTTTGATGTACTTCAAAGGCAGCATGTAATACACAGTGACCTTTGCTCATCTACAGGTGGATTGTGAACGCTTTAGGATAGGACCATATTTACCTTTGTGTTTGCAGGGATGGAAACACAGAAGGCACTTAAGACATGCATGTCAATGAAAAAAACAGCCGGGACATTGCAGAAGAGAAGCAAGTGATTTCCACTTGTGGTTCCGTAGAAGAGGAGTTGTATACATTTAAAAGAACAATGGCATCCCAGTTGCACTCACATCAGGACACGCAGCTTAACTATCCACGCAGCGATTTGTAGAACAGGCAACAAAAGCAAAACCCCATTACTGGCAAGGCAGTTGGTACTTAATAAAAGTAATCTCTTCCTTGCAGTATTGTGAGAATTAAGAGATGGCTGAGAAGGAACTCAGCACAGAGAATCTCTGGGAATCAGTATCGTCTTGTTCTTCATGACTCATCTCCTGGAAGAGAGCAGATGTTAGGTAAATGTCCGACAAAATGCAAGTGTTCAGCCTCATGCCACCTATGATTGCTCCTTGTGAGGAGAAGCTCAGGAATTTCTGAACTTTCTGCCTTACCCACTGTAGAACTTCCCTAAGAAACAGGGCCCTTGTGGGTCATTTCCCATTTTTGTTTTTAAAACTTTCTAATGGAAACATTTTTAAATCAATAAATGCCTCATCACATTTTCATACATGTGTTTCTTTATGCTTTGATCTTTTTCTTCCCCTATGCCCCCTCTCCTCCTCTTCTAGCAGGCCCCTTTCTTCCTTCACAAATAGACTGTCTGCTGTCCTAGATAGTCTTGTTAACCCTTTTTACTCCCCCAGAAGAGCTCTTCCACCCGTCTTGGTCATTTTCTGCTTTTATGACATACACACACTTTCAAGTATATAAAAGCCAGAAGATTAATGCAGTGAGCCACCGTGTATCTGTTATTTTACAAAATTATCACCAGCTTTCAAATCTTGCCTTCTCTTCCCATCATAGTTATTGCTTTAAAGCATGCTTAAAAAGAAATGTCAGAAATTGGACCATTTTACCATAGACGTCTTTAAAATGTTTAACTTTTAAAAAGTAAGTAAATAAGTGTGTGTGTGTGTGTGTGCGCGCACACGAGTGTGTATACATATATGATGTGTATGTAGGCCCACATACCGTGACACATGGGCAGAGGTAAAAGGAAAACAACTGTGGAGTTGGTTCTCTCCTTCCATCTTTATGTTGCTTCCAGGGATCAAGCAACTTAGGCTGTAAGGCTTGTGCAGCGAGCACCTTTACCCACTGGGATAGCTCACTAGCCCCTAGACATTTATCTGTAATCAGTATGATATTTTCTTTAAACAAAACAAGCAAGAAATAAAACAAAAACATAAAGTATCCAGCATCACTCTTAATAGTAACACAAATAAAGCTTTAATTTTTTTTTTGTCATTCTATGTTCAACTTTCCCCAGAGATATACATTCACTTAAATAAAAGCTTAAAGGAGGACAACACACTAATGATCTCTGCTGCATTCATTGCTAGGCCTTGCCTTTTATTTGGGTGCCCGTGATCTGCACTCAGGTTCTCAATGCTTGTTTGGAAAGAACTTTACAGGCTGAACATCAATCTCCCCGACCCTATTATTCTCATTTTAGAGATGGAGAAACTGAGGCTTCAATAATGAAGTTGTTTATGTTATTGTTGTTGTTGTTATATCAGTTTAAAATGGCACAGCCAGTAAGTGGCGGAAAGAAGACTGGGAGCCTGGACACCTGAGTCAGAACCGGTGGTTTTAACTGCTTCTTTTTAGTGTATTGCCTCTCCTTCTCTTCTTACCCAGCTCCTTCTTACTACAGATGTAGGAAGTTGACAGAAACCGAAGGTTAGGGTAGGTGCAGATTTCGATGGCATCTTACTATTGCCATCTGGTGGTATAAAAAATTAAAGCAAACCCTAGTTTCTGGCTAAGTCCTTAGTGTATTGGTCTTTCCAATACTGTCAAGCAGTTATAAACTGTTGTGAAACAGAGATTAATAAACAATACAGCCCTAACTTTGAGCTCCTTAAGGTAGACTAAATTTTCTTATTAGTATATGGAAATGCTATCTTATATTCAAGTACCTAGTTGGAAGTTTATTATACATTTAATAAGCCCATATTTCTAGGAAACTTTATAACTGGCCTTACTATATTTTGGAAAACTTGTTTTTCCTAATGTTCTTGATCTGATAACTCATTCTGGTCACTTTTTTTGATGTTCAATCTCAAGACTCACTGATAACTTAAAATTAGTTAACAATTAGTAACCATTTACTGGTCTTCAGTAGAAAGAAACAAAGGTCTGTACAGAAATGGCTTCGCCTCTGAGGATGCAATTTGCAATTTCATATTTGTATCTGTCTCTGTTATTATATGTATCCTACTACAAGTTCAGGAGGCTGTCGAATACTCAACATATGTTAGTACAATATTGAAATAAAATGAATTTAGAGTTGGAAGATACCTTAATGTTTATTTATTCTAGATCACACAACTGATTTGCATTTCCAAAGGGGGAAGATGGAGAATATTGGAAGAAGTCTCTTGAGTTATCTCTTACAGGGTGGCTCATCACAACTCCCTGCTGCCTGTAAGAGCAAGGCAAAAATCTCAGAGTTGGGCCAGAACCTGGGGCTAAGTACTGATGGTGGGTCTATCAAAAATTCATTTATTTTTGTCTTGGATCAAAAACGGTTAGATGCTGTCAGCCACAGCCTGTGTATTGATTTCAGATGCATGGATCAATCGTTTTAGAAATGATGCTTGTAAATGGTGCAAAGAGCATCCCTGTCCCCAAATCAGAGGAAGTGGTCAACCTGATGGTCCATGGGCCTTTGTTACTTTACTCTGTGTTTTCTATGAAGACATTCCCAGCATCGCAAGGACATATCCTCAATGCAACATTAAAGTCAGGAAATTAGCACTAACCCATTATCATTTAATCCTCAGACTTCATCCATGTTTGTTCTAATATTTTACTTTACAGGAAAAGAGGGATCCATTTCAAGATCTGGTTGTGCACACAGCCATCACCTTCCCGTCCTCCAATTGCAGCTGCCCCTGTCTTGCTTTCGCTGTCTTTATCATCAGAGCTCAGGTTTGCCGTCCAGTTACTTTGCAGATTGTCCGTCAAGTTGTTGTTGTGCAAGGCTTCCTTATGATCAGCTTGTACACACTCTGACTGAGACGGCGCAGATGTGATCCCACGTCCCTCTCACCACACTGCAGTGTGCGGTCTACAGTCTCAGCACGTCCCTCTCACCACACCGCAGTGTGCGGTCTACAGTCTCAGCACGTCCCTCTCACCACACCGCAGTGTGCGGTCTACAGTCTCAGCACGTTCCATCATCCACAGTATTGACATTGATCAGTTGACTGAGGTGGTGTTTGCCTGTTGGGTCACTTTTGCAATTAATGATCTTTACCTGAAATCATGTAAATACCCCATTCTACACCAGAGCTTTACTTTATTCATTTATCTTGTATCAGCATATGCCCATGTTTTCCTGTTCGATCTAATGAGTCACATTCTCTTTGTCAATTTTACTTTTAATGATTTAATATTCAAATTATTCCTCATTACTAAAGGTGGGCCTTTATGAGTTGGCTTCTGTGATCTGCTAATTCCTGATCATGCTTGCTTGGTGGTGGTATAAAGTTTTACAAATGACCACTCTCATTCCCAATCTCTTTAAATATGTTTTAACAATAGTGTCACTTAACAGTACAAATATACTATGTGTACTGGTCAACCAAGGCAATAAGTATTACTTTTCTATCATGACTTAGTGTTTGCAGCCCTTGAGCTCCTTTCTCATAGTTATTCATAAATATGTAATAGGTCATTGTGATGTGTAGGCCCCCATTGTTCCTGTAGAACAAGAGACCTGTTGATTCTACCTATGTTTAGGTACCCGTTGTTTCCTTTTCATTGTAGGAGGAGCTAAGGTGGGAGGAGTAAGGAAAGGAAGAGGAGGAGTTGGGAGAGGAAGAGAAAAAAGGAAGAGGAGGAGCTGGAGAGGACAGAGATTTAGGAGGATGGAGAACCACACAGGTATGGAGAGCACTCGTGGGGAACAACTTATAAACTTATAATTAGGTTAACTAATTGGGATACAACTCTCTTTGTATGGGCATCTTGTTATTAATCATTATCAAACATATAAAGCCTTTGATTAATCTATAAGAATTAGAGCCTCATTCTCTTACTGGGCCCCCATGGATGGCGGAATGGTCTGGACAATGCCCAGCCTTGTGGAGACATCGTGGAAGATTGCCAGAGCCATCTCTCATGGTGGCATCTAGTGGGTGGCAGGGCTGGTGTTTCTGGTGGGCCGGTTTTAGCTGCAGCGCGCACATGGCCTCAGGCTGAGAAACATGGCGGCTGGACTAGGCAGAGCCGCTGCAGGTTAGATAGTCGAATGACCGGTGGTCATCTATTAAATAATTATTACAACATTTCATTACTCAAGTAACTCACATTTCTTCTGCTTCTGGCCTTGAGTCATCCAATTTCATGGAGTACTGGGTTATTTAGTGGAGAATACACATATGCACATCTATACATACACATACATATGCATACTTAACATGTAAAGCCCCACGGTGACAGCACTGTTTTCTGTTCCCATTGCACACAGTAGGACTTATTCCCATTTCCTCCCTTCTGGTGCCTTCTCTGATAATGGGAAGCCTGCCTCTCCTTATCCTTAGTATGACTACTCTTCACCAGTCCCGCATACAGTTTCCCATGTTGCTGCCACCCATTCCCAGAACAGCACATACTGTCTGAACCCAGAGAACAAGAAGCCCAGAATCAAACACAGCTCATTTTTACTTTCTAAAGTATTTCCAAGTTGGATTTTTCCAAGTTTAGATGTCGGGAGAATGAAAAAAAAAAAAAAGTTCCCCTGAGGTCACATGCAGAGGAAGGACTGTAGACACAGACTGACTAACATTCTGCTTCCTGCTTTTTATTGGATTTTTTTCAGGGGTGGGGTGGGGTGCAGGTTTGGGAATTGTTGATGTGCAGGTCAGCCTGAGGCTTCCATACAGAGACTTTGACAGTTTGTGTTTTTGTGTTGCCCGTGCTGCTGTATAGAGCAAGGAAAACAGAACCTAGAGGTGGGCTTTCCAAGCTCCCTGGTCACCTCTTAATCCTGACCAGTGACAGCACCACCAGCCCTTGAACATCAGTTAGAAGCCACTGTCTGACAATCACTGAGAGTCTGCTGTGCAACAGCGCCTGGGCAAGGTGCCTTCTCACCTTGGCTAAGCTGGATGAGGCTCTCTGAGGACTTGGGGACCCAGAAGGAAGTTGTGGTGCGGTGCTCGCCCCTAAGACCTGAGCTGAGCCTTTTCATAAACTTTCTGAATATTGTCCTTGTAAGAAATCGGAGGCCTTTGCTTCTCCTTTTTCATTCTTGCCAGTTTCTCCATATGTCTTAGTAATATATTTCATTTTCTACCCACCCACTCTCCTTGCTCCTCCCCATTCTGTCAGGGGAGAATTCATAGATGTCATTGGTCACAAATCCACTCTCCATACTTGCCAAAGTCACAAACCCACTTTCTGAAGGGTTCACAGCCATGTTGTCATAGTCAGAAGACATGTCGTCTGGCATGGCTTCTGCAGAGCACACCCGGAAGGAGATGTTCTTCAGGTCTGGCCGGGGCTCGGCTAAATCAGCGTCACTTTGTTTTCTGATGACATTGTAAACGTCTAGGTTGGGGCTGGTTTCTTGGTGAGGGGTGGGCCAAATGGTGTGCTGCTCCTTTGTGCTAGGGGCTGGCTGCTCTCGTTTTCTAGAAGAAGAGAACCAGGCTGAGTATTTGAGACCAGAGTTTTGAGAATGTCCCTGTTCCTATTAAAGTGGGGGAAGTGACCTCAGGAAGTCATCTCTCTCTGCTTCTCATCTACCTACACCAACAGGCTCTGTGGGTCAGGTAGAAGACACCCCAGGAAACTGTTCTACTCATGGATGTTCCTACACCTACCATTCACTGTCTTAGTTCAGGTTCCAGGACTTCTTGGGGAATGTGGGGCCAGAAAACAGTAGAAAAGAATTACACTAAACCAAACCCTAGCCAATTGAACAATAAAACAAAAACTCATCTCTAAAAAAAAATTTAGCCATATTCTACCATAATTCTAGACAATAAACAAGAGAAAAATTAATAATGTCATTGACTCTACCACCAACAGAAACCACATTCCCATACCGTATCAGTTACTAGAGCTGCTTGGAAATAGTTCATGCTCATCTCTATTCCAATATTATACTTATACCCACCACTCAGAATCACTAAGAAAGAATCACAATTTGTTTTGGAAAGTATTTTTGCTAAACTCTGCAATAGTATAATTGTGTCCTTCTTCTATCAATGCATTTTGTTTGTAACACTTAAAAATATTGTTTAAGGGACTGGGGATATAGCCAAATGCAACTTGTCTGGCACATGGAATGCCCTAAGTTCCCAGGACCATTTAAAAATGAAGGAAGAAAAACAGAAAAGAGAAAATATGTTCCCCAGTCTTGGCAAAGGGACAAATGCATTTAAAAGTGGAAATCAGGAACCAATTGTATATAAGTCATTGGAAAATGTGTCTGTAATTGTTTAACTGAATTCTATTTTAAATTCAAGAAAATTACTGATAAAAATGATTATAGTAATGTCTAATACTTTTGAGTGTTTATTATATGCTATACACACACACACACACACACATGTGTGTGTGTGTTCATTGCTTAAACTCATAATAATCATTTGAGGGGATTATTAAATGAAACAGGTTCTACATTGTTACAAATGTATCTCAGTGCTTATCAAAGTGAATTCAACTTAAGTTGGACTCTGATTTTTCTGCTGTAAAGGTGACAATGCTAGCGTACTTGAGTGTCTACCTTGATGGCGGGGAGCAACAGTGTAACGGGGAGCAGTCGCATGTACTTAGAATATACGAGCATGTGATCCAGATTACACACAGAGGCTGCCTATGCTACCTAGTTTAGCTTCTTTGGAACAATACACTTTTGAAACAATTTAAAAGAAACATCAGTTTAAAAGAATTTGGCTGATTCATTCTGAATAAAGTGGCGTTGTGTCCGATGCTTCCCAGAATCCTTTGGAACACACAATTTTCATGTGGCCCATTAGTCATTCATTACTCAACAAACATTTTTGGAATGAGGACCTACATTTAGGAGAACACTCTACTGGGTGATCCGTGGGTGCACAGGAAGTGAATAACACTGTTTTACCTTTCACTTTGCTTAAAAGTCTTCCACACACACAGAAGAGAAAGGACATAGGGCTGCTAGTGTAATCACAACTCAGCACAGATGCTCAGAGAAATGCTGTTTGTTTGGCATGTGGACCTCGTGTCCTGCCAGAATTTACTCTTAGTTCTATAGTTATTCTTCTCTCGGAGTTGTCATGGCTTTTAATGATGTCAACCAGGCAACATCTGAGTGCAGAGGGAGCAAAGGTTTGCATGATGAAGGTTCTACTTGCCTTCTACAGATCCAAACCCAACATACAGCAGAAGTGACCACAAGTAGGAGGAAAAGGGGAATACTGGGAATTAGGATGTAGGCAAGATTCAAAGCAGCCTCTGAAAAAGAAAAAGTCATATATTAGCTTAGTTCTCTCGCGCGCCCCCCCCCCCCGGGGGGGGGGGGGGGGGGTGGGGGGGTGGGTGTGTATGTATGTATGTATGTATGTATGTTTTCAAACCAGAGTTTAAAAAGCACATTCAATAGAGTATTCTAAGCAACACATCCTAGGAAACAGATGCAGTTTCCCAGTTGGCAGAGTCGCCAGTTTCAACAAAGGAGCATTTTCTACCTAACCTATTAATCTAGGTGACAATGTAAGCAAGTTTAAATTTTGGAGTCTTGTATATATTGTAAATCATATTGTAAAAATCATGTTTGATTTTTTTCATACTAAAAGGATCCTCCTTTTCCACATACTTCTTAGCAAAACAGGGCTTGTTGGGGGCAGTGTATGTATCTTTGCTCCCAAAGACAGTCACAGAAATTCCCAGGCTTGGAAGAAGGAATGAAAAAGATCAAGCCAAAAGTCCCAGTGTCATTTGCAGGGAAGAGAAAGATCACATAAAGGAGACCATCAGACTTTCCCAACACATCTAACCAAGGCCAAGTAGCTTCAGCTAAATCCCTAAGTGCTGGGAAGAACACTGAGGGTCGTCTTCTTCTTCTTCTTTTTTTTTTCCAACTCTGTATTCTCTAAAAGAAAACTGGATGTTGTTCCCTTCAGGACTGTGAGAAAAATCAAGGATTACAAACTAACCCTTCTTTTTCCACTGATCCAAGTTTCCTGACCATACAGAGAAACTTGACAAGCATAAAACAAAACAAAACAAAACAAAATAATATAAAACAAACAAAAACATCAAACACACAGAAAATAGAGAATTCACTTAAAACACCATTATAAGTGATAGAAATGCCAACTTACTTTGGATAGCACTTTATTCTTTCTTAAAGATATTTTCACATATCTATTGGATAATGAAGAATTTGGCTATCCTCCATCTCTGGTCTTTGAAAGGAAGGTTCTAATTACTTGACATTTTCTAAGATAGAAGATTGAATTTTTATTCACGAGCCTCTTGAACAGAATTTATGGTAAAGAGATTTCTTAGAATGGGGGCTGTTATACCAATCCGGTGATCATAAAGTGGGGCTTTGAGCTGGGTGGCACCAGAATTCTCCCTTGGAAATATACCACCTGATAGTGATTACTTCCATCCTGCTTAGGTGATAAAACCTAATGAAACCTCTGAACACCAAAGCTTAATGGAGCTCCTTGGGTGGGTAACACAGTATGCTAGGAGAAGTTTATTATTTACCTTTGTGAAGCTGAGAGCAAAATACTCAAAAGAACAACTTAAAAGAGGAAAGACTGACTTCAGCTCAGTGTTGCATGATGTTGGGCAGAACATCATGGAGGTAAGTGATTGTAAAGGCTGTGCACATCATGGTCAACAGGAAGCTGAGAGAAAGGAACATACTAATCACCGTGTATACGCCTCAAAGGCATGCTCCCTGTGGCCCACTACCTCCAGCTAGGTCCCACCCCCAAAAATTTCCAGAATCTTCCATATACCTCTACTACTTAGAAATTAAACATTCAACACAGGAGCATTCGGAAGATATTTTATAGTCAAACAATAACAAAGAAGGTGATAGTCCTGAATCCACTGGAAGATGATACATACGGTACCATTTGAAACCCTTCCAGACTTTTCCCTGCCTGTGACTTTATTTGGTTGTTCTCTGCTTGTATTCTAGAGAGTAATATATGTAGGCACTGTATTCCTAAATTCTGTGAATTCCAGTGAATTATTGAACACGACAGCTTTGGTAGGCACTATTGGATGTGTAGCCAGTTGAACATTAGTGCAGGTGGTCTCAGGACTTCAAGATTTGTGGTTTATATCTGTCTGGTGTGAGAGTTATAGAATGTGCCTTTAAGCCATGTACATGCATGCATGCATGCATGTGTATGTGTGTAAGTGTTTGTATAGACCCTCAGTGTCAGAACTGAATTGAAGTAAAACATTACATTTCATTTTAGGGATGTGATAATGCTTTCATCTAGGTACAAAAAATGCTAAATGATTAAACTGAAGCACAGAGAAAAAGAATTTAAGTTTCCCAGTGATGAAAGCACAGATTTCCCTCTTGAAACTCAGGGCAAGAGTGAAATGGAAAGCTCATTAGCACTCCAGTATATCTCCCAACTATCTTTTACCTTTGCTGATCAGGCTTTTAGATGTTATCTTTCACATTTCTTCAGTTTGATCCACTGATATATATTGACCCCAGATGGTATGTATCATGGCTTGGGTTATTTACTCTTGTTTTTCTACATCCATTCTCCCAGCCTTTATCGTATCCCACCTCCCATGGTCAGGAAAGTTTCTTAGTCTTTTCCTTTACAAAGACAGGGTGGACTTTTATACCTCCTGTCTAGTCTTTCCCTCAATCATCTTAGGATAGTACCCATTGCACTGATGAAACCCGGCATTTAATACAGTGTTTGCAATGGCACAGATGCTTTGCCTAATTCCATTTTTAAGGAGCTCTCTGAAGAGGAAAGTAAGAAGTGTAGCCATACTTAATTTCTAGTCAAAGGAGTTCATTGTCTACTTTTCCCAAGTACCTCTGCGTTCTTTAATTGTTTCTTTGGTGTCTTCTTTCTGTGTTTCTTTGGGAAGTATGGGTGTTGCTGGCTCAGTTGCTTCACCTGAGAGAGATACACATGGGCTTGAGAACTTGAAGAAAGGTGTTATAGTCCAGGCATGCTCTGAGGTAGAGTGGGATACAAGAAAACAGTAGTAATTTGACCAGTGTTATTTATAAATACAGTAAAATACCAAGTGTTAGATTTGTTGCAATAGAGGTTTGTCTTCCTTGTGTGTGTGTTTCTGAGTGTTCTGTGTATGTGTGTGAAAAAATGTGTATCTGTGTGTTTTATGTATGTACATAAACTAGAGGTTGATATTAGGTATCTCCCACTACTGTTCCCTACCTTGTGTTTTGAAATGGAGTCTCTCTGAACATGGAGTTTGAGATTCAGGTAGATTGACTGGAAAGTAAACCCTGTCTCTGCCTCCCCAGCAATGGGATGGAAGGGGAATATCTCTGTGTCAAGCTTTTTGCCATGGATTCTGGAGATCTAACTCAGGTTTTCGTGCTTGGACAGCGAGCACTTTACCTACTGAGCCATCTCCCCATACATGTCTCCATGGTTTTGGTGAGACTTGTGTTGCCAATGCTCAGGTACCAAAGCAGCCAACAAGCAGCTGGAGTTGAGCAACATAAAGGACTAATGTACCTGGGGAAAGGTACAATGACTTACTGCTAGGCTCATAAAAGATCAGTTAGGCTCATTCTTATCTCATTGATTATATTGACAATAATGATAATGATGATGATAAGCATCGGTGGTGATGATGATGATGCATCCAAAACGGAATTTTCAAACCATTACTTTTCAGTTTTGACTCACGTGAATAACAGCAGGAAGAGTGTGATGAGCTAGCTGCCACAACTGACTGTGACAGATATCTGTCCAACTTGCCTGGGAAAACACCAGTGGTCTTCCTACTGAGTAATCTGTTCTAAAGGCATGATTCTAAATCTATAAAGAGGGCTGTGAAACGTCCCAAATTAACCCAAATTTCATATGACAGACTTACCTCCAGGCCTAGTAGAGGGCATTGCACTTGGTTTATCTGCAGAAGGGGAAAAGAAAAGATCTTACATTTTCCTTTATCTTAATGAAATCAGCTAGAGTGTAGCATGTAATTCCGATGAATTCTGTTTCTTATCACCATATTAACCATTGTTAACTGATACTAGAGATAGGTTGCTTAAGTCAAAGAATTTGGTGCACATAAATATTAGCCTTCCTTCAGCTGTAATTCAGTGTTTTTTTTTTTTAAATTAAACTTTTAGGCTTTCCAAATGTACACAAAAATAGGACTCTTGTATACTGAGTGCCCGTTTGCCTCTGCCTCGTCGGCATGGGGCTACCTGAGCTCCAGCATTGATCCCTACTCCCCACAGCAGTTCCTGGCTGGGATTGTCTTAAGTGGTCCAAGATATTTTATCGGTTCGTACTGAGGACATTTCCAAGAGCAACAAACACTAGGTCTGTAAGAAGGAGAAGTGGTTGAAGGATTGGCCAATTTCAAGGCAGAGACTGGTGATTAACCTTGAGATACTTAAAACATTCCCAGGAGCTTCTAAGTCCAATGTTTTTGCTGTTGGCTGACCTTGTATTAGCGTGGGGTCTCTTATGCTAATCAGATGCCTGGAATTCATAGAAGCATGGAGGTTTTAGTGATATAGTTGTCAGATGCAGATCTCAGCAATTTTATTCAGAAAGGGAAGTAATGATTAATCTTTCTTTACATATGTGTGTGTAGACTTGATCAAATTCCATTTATTTACTGCTAAAACTTACCCACATAGGATATTATGTCATACTAGAGAGCATTCTGAGCATTTTATAAAAACAGTCTCAATCTTGATAACAGGCTTATTATAGAGGAGTCTTACTATTACAATTCTTACTTTGTACACGAAGAAACTAAAATACAGGGGTTTAAATAACATACTTAAATTTTATAGCTAATCATTAGCTAAAAGATATTTTAACTAACTAAAGAAGACAGAATTATGCCACTTAATAAAGATAAAACAACAAAATGTGAAAGAACCTAAGTCAGTTGAAGAGCTTATGTTCTGACATCCTGTGATCACTGTATATGGTCAAGCTCCTGTACCTCTGACCACTGACAATGTGGCCATGAGCATAGTATATATCTGTGCACAGTGGCCATGAACACGGGGATCTATGCACAGTGGTTATCAGCACAGCATCAATGCACAGTGGCCATGAGCACAGCATCAGTCCACAGTGGCCATGAGCACAGCATCAGTGCACAGTGGCCATGAGCACAGCATCAGTCCACAGTGGCCATGAGCACAGCATCAGTGCACAGTGACTGTGAGCACAGCATCAGTGCACAGTGGCCGTGAGCACAGCATCAGTGTACAGTAGCCGTGAACACAGCATCAGTGCACAGTGACTGTGAGCACAGCATCAGTGCACAGTAGCCGTGAGCACAGCATCAGTGCCCAGTGGCCATGAGCACAGCATCAGTGCACAGTGGCCATGAGCACAGCATCAGTGTA